TGATTAGTATTAGTAATTTATATAGCTTTCGCCTCTTTTTTTACATGCCTTTATCTACACTACTTCTTTACTCATTCATTCATATATATATATATATATATATATATATATATATATATATATATATATATATATATAATATCTATTTATAGGTTATTTAATCTATTTATTAACTTAATTTTTTAAAACTGGACATTGTGGTCGTGATTCCAACTATCGTATTTTTGTAATACTAAGAGATATATTTTTAAGACTGAAGAAAATCAGCATATGTATATGCAGCCGGGCATCAAGCTGAGTTGCAGCTTTTTCACTGCTGTAGCAAGAATTATAAATTATTAGCTGTTTGGTTTGTTGTTTGGGCAACTGCAATATGCAATCCACTTCAAACACAGAAGGGTATAAGTGCGTTGTAACTTTTGATGTCAAAAATGAAACGCTTTTCATCGTTTAATAATAATGACTCTCCATATTCTTCAAGTCAGAGCACAACAGTAATTTCAATGCTCCTTGGCAACAAAAATGGGTACGAAAATGGTCATTAACCAGATAGACCTTTAAGAAGAGAAGATTTCCTCGTCTGCCTCGTAAATACGAGTACACATACGTACTAAATCTTGTTACGCTGCACTTATGTCCGTAAGTTAAGAAGACTGAAGCACTGAACCTACTTTTAGTTGTATTATTATAAAATTATTTTCTTAAACCTATTTTATAATATTTTTTTCATAGAATTAGGGTGACAAACGAGCACACAGTCCACCTGATAGTAAGTGGATGCTGTGGCCCATAGGCATCTACACTTATCCTCGATTGAAAATCAAAACGCAAATGCGTTGTCACCCCTGAGGACTAAGATGGAATGCCTCGTTTCCAGTAAAAAAGGGTCTCCGGACCTCTACAATCACCATACGAAACATACCAGTATTAAGCTGCTATTTTACGCTGGTATTCTGTGAGAACGTGGTCCTTCCCCGGTTGAGCAGACTCATTCGTGCACGCATAAAACCTATATCTACCTCTATCACATATAATCCACACTATATAAATTGTTAAAATTCTACTGTAATTAGGCGCATTTCCTCTACAAAATATATTATTTTTATATTTAAGTTGAGTTAAAGTTTAATTAATTTTGTTTAAAACTAGATATTATCATGCAGAGAGCTGACATATTAGGACAGGCAAATCAAACAGGTAAAATGCAGGTATATGAAGATATGAAAGTTTCTTGTATGAGAGTGGTGCATGAAAACCCGCAATTATGCTATAAAGTCTTTTCTTGGCTTACTTATTTCAAACAAATATTAGTAATTTATAACTATAACTACTAATTGTAAAATATAAAAATACATAATATTATTATGTAAGATATTTGAATGAAGTAATCAAAATATTGTCCCATAATAATTACCATAAATTATGGACTCAATACAAGTTACTAGAGCTTTCTGGTAAGAGGGAGAATAAAATTACTATCATATTACGTATATCTATCTATCATAATCTGTCACTAGATGTCGTTATTTTACATTGTTAGAAAGTAAGCAAATTATTTTCATTTATATTTTTATACACATTTTAGTATTTACCTACGCATAAATTGTTTAAATAATCGCTAAGTACTTTTACGAATTTTTCAACATATTCTTGAAATATATAGAAATCTAGAAACTACTGGAAATATCGGTTACGTGGCCTGAATTCGTTGCATTGTGATAACACGTCAGAGTTTTCGAGAAATTGCTATTGGCCGCTAGATGTCAGCGGTATATATAAGCCAGTACTTCGTCGGTTTCGTGCATAGTTTTTCGACAGCAAGCGAAGCGATCGCAAGCGACTGCAACTGCAATTCAGATTTCTGTGTTTTTCAACTCGTGGTTTTTTTCTTGTTCTAGTATTAATATATTCGTAAATATGAAGCAGTTTGAAAGTTTAGTTATTGCGTTGTCATTTATTCTCGCTGCGGGAGTCCACGGTAAAGAAGAATGTTCGAAAAAAGGCAACACAATTGCTGACCAAGACTTCGGGATGGCGTTGACACCAGACGACATAATTACATCCATGATGGGACCGTGGATGATCCGAGATTACTTCAGACCCTGGAGATATTTAGAATCCCTAACCAGGGACCTAGGATCGACTATTAAAATGGAAAAAGACAAATTCCAAATCAATTTGGACGTTCAGCACTTCGCTCCTGAAGAAATCACTGTGAAGACTGCTGATGATTATGTGGTAGTTGAGGCTAAGCATGAAGAGAAAAAGGATGAGCATGGTTACATTTCAAGGCAGTTTACTCGGAAATACGCGTTGCCTGAAGGTACTGTTTCGGAAGATGTGATCTCTGAACTGTCTAGTGACGGAATTTTGACAATAACCGCACCACGAAAGCAAATTGATGCGAAGGGTGAGAGGGTGGTGCCTATAACCCAAACTGGTCCCGTTAGGAAGGAGTCTAAGGAGAAGGCGCAGGGCTCTTGTTCTGGTGATGAGAAATGTGAATTGTAATCGATTGCATTATAATTTAAACTACTAATGTTCGTCGTAACAGTGCGATTGCGTGCTTCATTCGTGTCGCGTTTTGTGAAGACTGATTTTGAATAAAATTTGTTTATAATGTGTAAAAATAGTTTTTGTTTCTTTTTCATTTATTTGTGGGGTAGGTATTGTAAAGAGGCACCGGTGGGAAATGAAACAGATGGCATGAATGCAGACGCATTTTACTGATAACAATAAATAAACTACGGTTGCCAGGTCGTTATCATTTTTTTTAGATTAAATCAGTGTAGGACACGTTTACTTAAGCCTAGATGAACCACTGTGCTAACGAGTTATAAAAAAGTAACTGCATTGTGCATTTAAATTTAATTGTACACTATAAAGTATTTCGATTTTTGTTATAAAAAGACCAGACATCTCTAAATCTATCTTCGATTAGCAGAAGTTAAGCATGTTTTCGACCACTTACCAAGTCGTCACTCTTCACTCAACACTACGCTTATACGGGCCCCCAACACTTCGCTAACCGGTATGAGGCTGCCACTCGAGAACCTTTTCTCCCCATCGGTATACTTGAGCATCTAAAATATGTTGCAACCAGAGCCTAAGTAAGATATCGGCGTCACTTGTTGTCTAGGAACTATGATAAGTGTTGACCGCCGCCCGTGAACAACTACAACACCACGGGAGTTACAGGTGCGTTGCCGGCCTTTTAAAAAGCAGTAAGCTCGTTTCTTGAAGGTTGTGAAAAATACGTTGTATTTTTTTATATAATAAGGGTGACAAACGAGCACACACAATACATGCATGCCTACTGTGAGGATCACAGAAACACATTAGTTTATTCACTCCAATTTAGTAGGTGTGATAAGACATTACATTATTATCATATACTAGAGATTGTATAAGACCAGTTTACTATTTTATCATTTTTGTGATTTGTTTGTTATAAAATGTACCACCTTTAGCTTTTTACATTTTTTCTTTTTTGATCACTTCACTTTTATATTTAGTGAGGTTATAATTTATTCGATGGATAATTTTATTGAAAAACCGGCCCTAAGCGAATGTTTTTTTTTTATAGCATAGGTTGACAAACGAGCACACAGTCCACCTGATGTAAGTGGATGCTGTGGCTTATAGACGTCTGCATCTATCATCAATTAGGAATCAAAATGCAAATGCGTTGTCACCCGTGAGGACTAAAATGGAATTCTTCGTTTTCAGTAAAAAGGATCTATTTAAAGGACTAAGCTGCTTTTTTACGCTGGTATTCTGTGAAAGCGTGATCCGTCCTCGGTCGAGCCTACTCATTCGTGCTACCAGCATCATTATATAATATTCTAACTCAATTTTCATTGTTGATCTGAGTATATGGTAAGAATATATCAGATGTGTTTATATGAAAGAAAAGGAATAAAATTAGGTGATTTATTTATTATTACATTCGACAATCGACACCATTTAACACTTAAGTCCTTATATAAAACATTATTTTATTAAATCTGGTCCTTAGAGATCTTAAAAGCAATATTACGTAATATGCACAGATAAAATTATTAAAATAATTGTTTTCTTATTAGTAATTATTATTAGAAGCATATTTGTTACAAAAGATAAAAAAGATGACTATAATTCTAATTATGGTAACGTTGAAGAACTATTCACGGATGGCACTTGATACCTTCACAGTTATTTAAATTTTCTTTATAATCTTTAGGTAATATATCGAAATATTTTCGTAGTAAACAATTGGAGGGAACTATTCATATTTTATTAAACATGCTAGTTCATTCTAGTACTTTCGGCTTTACAAAGAAGTAGCATTTTATGTTGAATTATGCAAAGAAATTTATTAATTTCGATAAGCATAAAATACTGTAATTGTTATAATTACTTTGTCAATATTACTCACTACCTACATTCGTGTTTCATAACGAGACGCAGTTTGCGTAAGACATAATGGAAACAAAGAAAGTTCTAGAATAAACGTGGGAACAATTAGTGCTTTCCGTCATTTCAGTGTTAGTAAAAGTATAGTAAACATTTTGTCGTAAAAAAAAAACTAGATTTCTTCGTGGTATTCTTTGCCCCTGTCATAAATTTTATCGCAGAGTACATTAAACTTTTTAACAATTACCAAATGTAATATAAGACTCTTGATAAAAACATCTTGTTGTATATATTAAATTGTTATCAAAAATTTCATCATATATTTATAGCACCATGAGAAATAGATAATATGTGAATTTATGATTTATAGCTTTTCGGTGTTAGATTACACTTAGTGGAAAAATAGGAATTTATACTGTTAATAATTTACTTCTGTATTTGCCTAAATCATTACATGGCTGGTGTTTAAAATAAAATTGTAAAATAGGGCTTTCGTAATTTTCGTCAATAATTATTTCTAAAAAAATTTTTCTTTCGAAAAACCTGTAATCAGCCATATTTAATTTAATGAGTGCAATTAAAAAAGGTAAGCAATGATTTTTAAATCAACGGACACGCGAATTAAATTCTGGTTTTTTGTTTTTACTTGACAGTTTAAACCAACCGGCTTTTTTGTTTTGGTCCTTCGGCATCGAAATCGATCGGGATACTCTCTCCCGTTCGTTTCGATTTAGTATCTCACTCGATTGGCTTTTTTTGCCGATTGGGCCTTTCCGAGATATTGTACTTTCACTGGCGCTCTCTTTCCCGCCTCGTTTATCCCGACGGTATAGCGTTGTGCTTGAACTCGTTAATCGATTCTGGCTCTGTGGTCGACGGCTTAGTGTCGTCTGGCTGTATGATTTATTTTTTTGTAGTGTAGACCGCCTCTCATCGTTCAAATTCTTCGTCGAATTTGTCTTTTTAAATACATTCTCTTTTTGTTTTGTTTTTTTCGGTTTTTGTGCGTAGTGTACGTCGTGCTGCTCGCTGTAGTGGCGGGGCGTCCATGGAGCGAATAGCGAGAAGCTTTTGGTCGTGCTTCTGACTTGAAGATTGGATGACATTACGGATGAGACATCGTCTCTTGAACGGTTGCGGGTCAGATGACCCGGATCCGGGATGTCGCCAACTAGAAAAAATAATAGTTTTAATAAATACCCTTACCTTTTCTCGGGTGTTGCCATTTAATCACTATTTAATCTATCACCCCATTGTATTAGGGTATATTAAGAGTCCATTATGCGAAATGAAATGCAAATAAATAAATACTTGAATGTCATGGTTACCGAAAGATGGCGGTATAACTATTTCTTGTTTTGCCAGATGTAACATACTGCTGAGACTAGAGAAGGGTAGCAGTATCAACGGTGTCACACGTCTGCTACTGCGAACGTTTATCCCGCTAAAGCCAATCCTCCCAATAACGGAAGAGGGTCATGTTCAGCACTGAACTTTCTCGTTCTGGTGATGATAAAAATGATGAATGAAATAGACACAACTATCAAATATACTTAATTTATACCTATATATGGGCTATTGAATTATATAGTCTAAGCAATTCTTTTTATTTAACTTTTTATTCAATACAGATTATTATAAATAGTACCTACTTATTGAAAGTAACACTTTTGTTTAATTTAGCACTGCTTCGAAAAAAGCATTTTTCCTGGGAAGAACCAGCAGGAAACATAACGGGACTTTTTTGTTTTTGAAAAAAAGAACAAGAACAGCTTGTAAGCTGTTCTTGTTCTTTTAAAACTACATATATGAAATGTAGTCATATATATTACACAATTTACAACACAAAACCAATTAGAAATAACTTGGTAGCGATCACCTTTCCCAGGTGTTGTAAAACACACGCCAGTTGGTTTGACACTGACTTTATTTCTATACTCTATACCTATACATTATACTACATCTTTCCCTTTCTAAAATAATTTTATAAACAATAATAAAATTATAAACAAAAATAACTATAAGAAATTTTCTCCTATTATATGTATATTTAAAAAAAAACAATATTTGACCTACTAATTATTTTGTATCATTATTATTATTCATTATTTTTTCGGCCAACATTCGTGCAGTCCGTTCCTTGGACCTTTTTATGTTCACTATTGGTGATGGTGGTGAAGAAACACATTCTGTAAATGCTCTATCAGTACCAGGAGTAGTAGGAGTACTGGGCCGTGATGACGGCGCTCTGTCTGTCTGCGGACACACTTGAGAGTCTGCCTGAGTCTCGGACCCAACCTTTCGTCGACGTCGTACGCCCCAGGAGGCAATCGTACTTTTGTCTAGAATACGGGACTGAAACTCTGTTACTGGATGAAGTCCGAGACAACCTTGGTTTCCCATAATCCTTGGAGCGTAAAATAAGATGGCTACGAGTACGTCGGAACCGTTTCCCTTGTTCATCTTCAACTATAGAAGACCTTGGCTCCTCGGCACGAGCTACTATTGAAACAGGTTTCCTACCAGCATTACATAATAAAGTAGCTTTATCGCCTACCGATAAACGCTCAAGTGACTTTGTGAACTTATCGTATTGTTTTTTAATCTTTTCTCTATGAGCCATCAAAGATTGGTAATTGCGATTGTTATCTACTGGAGCTCTTAATAATTTTTCAGAAAATGGCAGTTTCGTTTTTATCCGTCTCCCCATAAGCATCTGTGCCGGAGAATCTAAACCATTTCGAGGCGTCGACCTGAAATTTAATAGACTTAAATAAAAGTCTTGGCCTGAGTCTACGCGTTTCTTTAGTAAACTTTTTATAGTTTGGACAGTTCTTCTACTTTTTCCATTAGACTGGGAATAGTTGGGGGATGAGGTAACGTGATCTATTTCCCATTCATTCAAAAAATTCTGAAATTCTTACGACCTATAGGCCGGCCCATTGTCTATCACTATTTCAGCGGGTATACCGTGTCGAGCAAACTGCGTTTTCATAAAATTTATAACATGTTTGCTACTGATACCGGCTAACTCCTCGACTTCAACATAATTCGAAAAATAGTCCACAAGGAGAATATATTTTTTTCTTTTATATTCAAATATATCGGAAGCCAGTTTTTGCCAAGGCAAATCCGGCACGTGATGTTGCAAGAGCGGCTGGCGACGCGGGCGCGGCGCGTGCAACGCGCACGCCTTACAGCGGCGCGCCACGCGCTCCACTTCCGCGCTCATGCCCGGCCAGAACATAACTTCGCGCGCGCGCCTCTTACACTGATCGATGCCCAGGTGACCCTCGTGCACGCGCTTTAACATTTGCTCCCGTAACCTACGCGGAATGAACACACGGTCTCCCTTAAAAATCAACCCGTCGACATACGACAGTTGCACTCGATATGGCCAAAATACACTAACGTTGTCACTCACATCGCGCCTATGTTTTGGCCATCCGTTTTTAATATACGTTATTAATAATTTACAGTCACTATCCGTTTCGGTGTCCTTTATAATAGACTCTATTTTTGATAGACTGAATGGTATGTTCTTTAGCATAAAACAGGTTTGTACATTGACCTCATCAGATACATAGTTCTGCATTAACTCACCCAGAGGGGCCCGCGACAGAGTATCCGCAATATACATGTACTTGCCCGGTGTATATATAACTTTGATATCGAACCCTTGCACTCTTAACATCATACGCTGTAAACGTATCGGTACTGAAGTTAACAACGGTTTTTTAAATAATGCTTCCAGTGGTTTATGATCAGTGTGAACTGTAATATCTGACCTACCGTATATGTACTGCCTAAACCGTTCGACAGCAAAAACTATCGCGAGCATCTCTTTCTCAATTTGAGCATATCTAGTCTGTGTGTCTGTCAACGTTAGCGAAGCAAATTCTACCGGTCGCTCATTCTGCAGAAGCACAATCGCGACGCTGCTGGCGTCCACTGACAATACCACTGGCGCTTCCGTCGAATAAATCGCTAACACCGGAGCACTCGCTATTTTTTCTTTTAATTTATCGACAGCCTCAGAATGGTAAGCCTCCCAAACCCACTCGGCATCTTTCTTTAATAAAGACCGCAACACATTCACATATTCAGAGTAACTTTGAATGAATTTTGATAAATAATTTACCATTCCTAAAAATCGTTCTAGAGATTTTTTGTCCGTTGGATAAGGCATGTCCAATATAGCCTTTACCTTTGAATCGTCGGCTTTCATTCCATTAGCGTCAAATTTTCAAAAAAAAATCCAGTTCAAGAGATTTTTGTGACATGGCTGGAAATAATACTGAAGAGGTCGAGGGAACAACCACCACAGACAGTAAAACTAATAGCAGAGCGGAAATCCCACCGCTGCCACCATGTTGTAAAACACACCACAGTTGGTTTGACACTGACTTTATTTCTATACTCTATACCTATACATTATACTAAATCAAGGTTAATTATTATCCATAAATTCCTTGATATTATAAATACCCTTTTAATACAAACTTTGTTTAATAAAGTTTTTGAATTTTGTGGAGATCAATTTTGTATATTTTCTGGTATCTTGTTGTAAAAGCGTATACATCGCCCCAAGAATGAATTACTGACTCGGTAGAGTTGAGTACCTGGTATTACTAACTTGTGTCTGTTCCTAGTATTTGGAGAGAAAAGGAGGGAGAGAGACAGTTATTATACATACCAGTTGTCGCATGCAAGTAAACAACGCTGCGTTGACTTTGATGACTAGAATCACCTTCCGTGCTACTTTCCCCAGAATTTGTAAGAGGAGTGCGACGTCGGGTCCTAAAATAAATTTTGATTTATTAACAATTATTACTGTAGGACAATTATTTTTGTTATATGGCAAGGTGGCAACTATGGATATTTTCCATAGTTGCCACGTTGCCCTAGAAAGTGGGTTGGCAACCGCAGTTTTTTAGTTTAAGTCATTATTAGGCAGACGCTGCTGCCCATCTCCTGATTTGTTTCCCTCTGTCGCCTCTAACGACACCCACGGGATGGTATGGGATAGTAGATATTGTTACATCGCCACTATACGGTACGGTACGGTTTATTATCTATGGGAGTGGCCATTCAACAGTGGGCTTTAATAGACAGCCTATTACTATAACGGTAACAGTAATGGTTTCTTATTAACAAAAAAAAACGTTGAGCAATATATTTCTATGAGCTGATTCTACGTTTTACTAGGTACAGTTGCGCTACAGCCATAACACAGCTGTAGCATGACTTACATACATACAATATATGCCACGTAATTCTAGCACTGAACGATACGTGTGGAGACGGAGGACAGAATGCGACTGGAGAGCCAATCGGCACGTTCGGACGATACGCACAGCCAATCATACGCAATAATTCACAATACTGCCAATTATGCATAATAACGGTCACCGCTAGACTTTCGTGCCGAGAGATGTAAAACGTAGAATCCGATTACTATAATTTATCATCTATTACAGTCAATATAGTCCACTATTAACCATAGAAGTTCACCGTAGATTGTCTCATATTAGATTTTGCCATAGTGTCCACGCAGAGCAGGTGGCTTGGCAACCGCAGTTATTTTTTTAATTTTGAGTTGTTATCAGAAATATGCTGCTACTTATATCCTGTTGCAGATTCTTTCAGTCTGTCTTACGACACCTGCAGGCGATGAGTAAACTAGGTGAGGCTAATATGGTCACCTTAAGCTTTGCCGCCCTATAACACAGTAACTTGGAGAAGGGCATAGACAAAAACACTAATTCGTATACTATAACTAAAATATCAAGAAAAAAAAAGCAAACAAAATTTTTGTTACCCTTATACTTGTTTAATGTTTATATACTTGATGACAAAATGGCGTCAATAAAGCAGCGCCCTTTTGACCCTTTATTATTTGATTGACCGATGAAGAGCTATCGTATCACAAAATCATCTATGCAAAGAAGGCTGTAGTTTTTAAGTTAAAAGAAGGTGACCATATTAACCAGATGACTATAATATTACCCTCACGTAGCATAGTTTTTTTTTAATTGAGTATAGGTGACCACCTATTCCACTTGATATGTTTGTCAACCTTATTGTGATAGTAAGTGGATGCTGTGGTCCATAGACATATATATTTATTCTCGATTATGAATGCAGATTATCAGGCGAGATCAGCAGGCTGAAATGCCTCGTTTCCAGTGAAAATGTTCTCCGGTTCTCTACATTCAACATACGAAACACAGGCGTATTTCGTGTAACAAAGGTGTATTACGAACTTAAAATATACTTAAAGTGTAACTTACTTTACATCCCTGCTCAATTCGTGTTTACTGCCTCTTAATTCAGAAGAATTGGCCCTATCTTCTACTTTACCATGCCTTTTTATGTCACTTTTACTCCCTTTCAAGGTCTTTGAGCTGCTGTGACTTCTAGACCTATCGTAAGGATTTAAAGGCGGTTTCTTGTGGATCTTCCTATCAAACTGACTCTCTGTCTCGGAGTTGCTCTGTATCTCTGATATATTCTGCAGGTTCCTTTTATAATATTGTTTCGTTCGTGGTGATTCGTTCAGTTCATCTTTGTACAGATTTGACATAGAGTAACTCTTATTCGACAGTTCACTATGGTCGACCTCGTCTAAGCCTGTGCTGGAGTTTGAGATTGTTTTCCTTAATGTGCCTCGGTTTTTGGGCTGCGGGTGACTCCTGGTCTTAGTGACAGTGGTTTTAGTGTTACCCTCTGACTCTTGATCGGTATCGCCGAAGAAGCGAAGGTTCTTGGCAGGCGAATTAAGTGGCTTTGTTGGTTTCGACCAGACTCGTCGTGCGGATTCGTCCTCTGTGGTGATGATGCTATCCTTCTCCACCTGGAATGTTTTAATAGTTATGTTTAGTAAATTAAACACTACGAATGATTTCGATGAAAATTTTTGTTTGCATTTGAGTCCTGGTCCTGGATGGTTAAGATTCACAATTGGACCCGGTAGCTGACGATGTTGGTGAGATCCACAAAACAGCCTACTTTAAAATAAAAGGGTTTTCACTGATGGCTTATAAATCGTGTTAAAATTCCTACTGGAAACGAGGCATTCCATCATTCATTCATTTTTACTAAAAGGGTTTCCGGAACTCTACACTCATAATACGTAACACAGCAGAATTAAGCTACTATTTTACGCTGGTATTCTGTGAGAGCGTGGTTCATCCCCGGTCGAGCGGACCCATTCGTGCTACAACTATACTATTAATATAACTGCAGCATGGCTCTACCACGTATACGTATCCCGTTGTAGGAGGACTAACTTTTGTCTTAATCATCTCATTTTTAGGCGGATTAAAGATCTCAATATCAGGAGTCTGGCAATATTTACTGCCCAACTAATCTTGATAAGGAAAGAATGTCAATATGTATTATCAGCCAATGACCATTATTGGATCTGAAGATAACTAGCGATGTAGCCGAAGATGGCAAAGCGCATTGATTTAACAAAAGCCTATTCACTGTTGTCTTGAAGACATCCACATGGTAATCGGATGGATAGACAGAGGCTGGAAAATTATCCTACTATGTTACGGTACGAGTTACGAAGGACAAAGCAGCTCCTTTAACCAATTGGGACAAACACCAATAGGATAACGGATGGGGCGCATCGTGACCGCCTACGAGAGCACAGTTCCAGCACACCCCTTGTACACCGTATACCCACGTACCTGGGCAGTTCTCACCACCCAGAATATCGACCGACACGAGCTGAGCAGTCAGAGGGGGGGGGGGCCACTCCCCCACTCGAACAACCGTTAGATAGCTGAAGAACCACCAAAGAGGCGACATGATGATTGGTAACAATATCAAATCATAAACCATCATCATCACCATCCTCATCATCATTGTCTTTCCCTTTTCAATCATCCCTGGGTCAGATGAAGCTATAAGAGCCACATAGGCTAACAGCGCTAACATCACAATAAAGATAAAAAACAACCCTATAGTTCGAATGCGTCTCGAATGTTATTAACAGAGTGTACACTTGATGTTAAGTACTTAGATGTTGTGCCCATAGATATCTACATTAACCATCGATAAAGCATCGAAATGCAGCTATACGTTGTCACCCCTGAGGACTAAGATGTAATGCTTCGTTTGTAGTAAAAAGGGTCTCCGGTTCTCTACTCACCATACAGAACACAGCAACAGTAAGTTAATATTTTACACTGGTATTGTGAAAGCGTGGTCTCCGGTCTAGCCGACCTATTCACTACAGCAACTATTAAATAGCTATAGCGTAGCTCTACCTCGTAAAGATGGGTGCATTCCTTGAGAAAAAAATTTTTAAAGCCAAGCAAATCTCAGGTATTAAAATTATTAGGGAAACATTTTTAAACGAATATATAATAAAAATCATAGCATATATTCCACTAAAGAGATTCCAAGAATAAAGGAGTGCCACTACCATAATATAGCTGCAGTATATCTAAACCACGTTAAAAATGAAGTGTTGAAGTTACTTTGATGTATTAATACAAACTTGACATACTCTGTTGCTGATGCTTTTCTCCCTTTTCTTGCCAAGTCTGTCCAGGGACTTGAACCAGCTCCCACTAGCGGGCTGTGGCGCTGGCTGGCGACGCGGTGGGGATGGCGTGGGGCTGGGGGTCGCCAGGCGACGTCTCTCGCGGTATCTCTCAGCCTGGAAATGATATCAACTCATCAATAAAGCTACGTAGATATGCCTTTGATGTAATTTTTTATTTATATATTATATTAAAACTTCGATCAATTAAAGAAAAAAAACTTCGCTGGCATTAAAACAAAAATAATTTGCTAGCTAAAACAAAAAACAACTTTTTTACCTAGGCTGCACTGAAAGTATCGAGAATGGAATATTTCCACTGTTCCTGTCATATTAAAATTTTTTTAATTGAAAACTCCTTGGTTTTAAAAATCGAATACCATTTATTTATTTAAAAAAAAGATTCTCGGTCTTGTCACAAGGTTTTGTCAAACTTGTTTAGTCGTTGAGAAAATGGAATTGACTCGAGAAAATTCAAGAGCGATGATTTATTATGACTTTCGAAGTGGTTTAACATAAAAACAGTGTGTTGACCGGATGATTTCTGCATTTGGTGATGAAGCCCCATCCAAAACCACAATTTATCGCTGGTTTGCTGAATTTCAACGTGGACGTGTCAAGCTCAGTGATGATCCCCGTCAAGGTCGTCCAAAAACTGTAGTCACCCAAGGAAACGTTGATGCTGTGCGTAAGCTGATTGAAGAAGATCGACATGTGATATACCGCGAAATTCAAGCAACTTTATACATTGGCATGAGTCAGATTCAGATAATCTTGCATGAACAATTTAGGTGTAAAAAAGTTGTTTTCCCGATGGACACCGCATTCGCTCTGTGAAGAGCAAAAAGCGGCTCGCGTTACTTAGTGCGTCAGAACTCTCGAAAGATTCCACGCAGGATCCTCAAATGCTGTATACAACATCGTATCAGGTGATGAATCCTGGATATACGCGTACGAACCCGAAACAAAAAACCAGTCACGAGTTTGGGTGTTCGAAAATGTGTTAAAGCCAAGAGAAATTGTTCGTTCACGGAGTGTTGCAATAAAAATGGTGGCCACGTTTGTCTCCAAAACCGGCCATGTTACGACTATTCCTCTTGAGGGACAAAGAACGGTTAATGCAGAATGGTATGCTAGCATTTGTTTGCCACAGGTCGTTTCTGAACTCCGTAAAGAGAACTGCAACCGCCGCATCATCCTCCATCACGACAATGCGAGTTCTCACACCGCACACAGAACAAAAGGGTTTTTAGAGCAAGAAAACATAGAATTATTAGACCATCCGCCGTACAGCCCCGACCTAAGCCCTAATGATTTCTATACTTTCCCTAAAATAAAGAATAAGTTGCGTGGACAGATATTTTCATCACCTGAAGAAGCCTACAAAACGGTCATTTTGGAGACCCCAACTTCCGAATGGAATGGTTGCTTCAATGATTGGTTCCATCGTATAGAAAAATGTGTCAAATTTCGCGGAGAATACTTCGAAAAGCAATAAATACATTTTTAAATAGTAATGTTGTGTCACTTCCTTGATTCCCGAAATTTTCAGTGCCGCCCTCGTATATTATTTATTTTCCTATGTATCTATTGGAATATATTTCAGTATATCATGGAATTATTTTGCATGAACTCACTGTATGACTGAATCTGTGTCATATTGTACATTAATAAATGAAAAAATGTGTCATCACCGCGAAAGTGTTCGATGAATTGGGAAAAAAATCGGAAAACACGAGTCTTTATAGAATTAGGGTAAAACGCGAGCTCACCTTCCACCTGATAGTTAGCGGGTGCTGCGGCCCATACACATCTACATTTGTCATCAATTAGTGGTAGAGCCACGCATCACATGATTGATAATAACTCCTATATATATATAATACTTAATTGTATAACATTTTATATTGAAAATTAATGTTTAGTAAAAGTCCCACTGGGTTTCTTGGCGGTCCTTCCTACGACAGAGGTTTTTCTGAACCAGTTGTAAAGCTTAAATGAGTTTCAATTAGTATTCCTGTTATCCTTATTGAATAAAAAGGTCTGTATTCTATTATGTTCTATTCATCACGAATGGGTCTATTCGACCGACTTGGAGGAATACATCCGCAATTAATACCAGAGTGAAATGGTAGTATAATGCTGCTCTGTTTCGTTACGTGTGGACATGTGTCAATCATGAATGATTCGTTCGTTTGAGCTGGTACACTTAAAAGTATTGATGGTTCATTCATCTGTTTTTTTATGTTCCTGTACAACCAATCACAAACAATTGACGGAACCTTTTTAGCTCGTGATTTGTGTGAATTGTGAATGAGTTAAAAACCGACCGGAATCCCGAATGACCTGAATGAATTGTTTTTAGTGTAGGGCACTGGAGCCCGAAATGATCCATTTGCATGATCGATCCCAATGTACCGGTACGCGTGACGAAACGTACTAGAATGATTCGGTCGCGAGAAACGAATGATTGGCACATGTCTAGTTACGTGATTTTAACTGAAAATTCTTTTGCACTGGGTCTTTGGTTGGTAGGATTGGGGTTTGAGACCTCTACTGATTTTAATTAATTTTATGAATTAATAATGATCCGCCCGGCTTCGCACGGGTAATTTTTGGATCTCGACAACATAATATGCATGTATTACAAGTAAACTTTCTCCTTGAACCATTCTGTCTAATGATGAAAACCGCATCAAAATCCGTTGCGTACTTTAAAAGATATAAACATACAGACGGCGGGAAGCGACCTTGTTTTATACTATGTAGAGGTAGTACGGGTGGTCCGAAAAGTTCCGACCTAACAAAGATACAAGAACTTCTTTCTTTAAATTTATTTTCATTTTTCTACATAGTCTCCTTGTAACTCTACACACTTCTCCGAGCGATGCTCACATCTCTCTAACCCATCCAAATAGTACTTAACGTTTTTATCTTCAAAATAATAGTTCACGAAGGTGATTGCCTCCTCATTTGACGAAAATCTCTTTCCTCCGAGTGCAAGTTTTAGATGAGGGAACAAAAAGAAATCGATTGGAGTTAGATCTGATGAATAAGGTGGATGGTCAATCAGTTCAAACCGTAATGCGTCGATTTTAACCATGGAAACCGCTGAGATGTGAAACGACGCGTATCATGGTGAAACAGGATTTTCTTTTTCTGCAAATGTGGCTGTTTTTCCGCAATTTCTGCCTTCAGTTTGTGAAAAAATTATGCGTAGTATGTATGCTCCTATAATAATTTTTCCTTTTTGAATATAATCGATAACTCCATGACTATCCCGAAAAACAGTCGCCACCGTTTTTCCTTTTTTTGGAGCCGGTTCTCCCTTTTTAGTCCATTGTTTTGACTGTAGGTATTTTTGTTCCGGTCGTATAATGTTGCGTCCAAGTTACACTCCAGTAATAATTTGGCGCCCAAAACTCGGATTTATTGCGCCTAAATTGCGCCAACGAGCGTTCAAAATGTTCATTCGAACACGTGTCGGTCTAACGGTTACACAAACAAACGAACAAGTTGTGTGGTAAACACGGTCTAACGTGAGCAAACACGGCATCCAACACGCTGACAGCTTTCTCATGCTTAAATCTTGATTTAATATATGACAAACACGTTTTTGTTTGTGGTAAATGATGGTGCAGAGTCCCCATATACAAAGTCCAACTCGTATTTGATATGCGTAAGCAGGCGTATTACCTTTCAAAAACAAAAATTAATGACAGCTCAATACTATTTTTTTCCATTTTCACAAAAATACCATCGACTCACTCAAAGGACTATCAAATAACAACTACGCGTCCAAAATGCCTGAAATTTTATTGCGTAGCTGTCAGAAGACGCACAACTACAACTAACTACAACATTCACTAGCCTTATTGACAAGTGCTGCCATCATCACGTTGAGGACGGAAACTTTTGAAACCATCCTGATATTTCACTCTTACAATACAATATGGGTACTATAATTATATGTCTCTTTTTCTTCCTGAGTCTGTATGTTGCACGTAGTTCTTAAAAAGTAGTGATTATATACTTTTTTCATAGTTCACCACTACAACGTACCAGAGAAAAGACTTTGGCAGGCGTGGTTAAAGAGCCGAGAGTTAAGGGGATATAGTAAGTTAGCTCAAATTCTAATTTCGTCCCCACTTGCCCGCGCGTCGTATGCTATGTACCGACATGTTTGTAATCACTAATACTGTAAGTAGAAAGGTCGTTAGACACTTATTTCATTAGGTTTATCATATTTATGCCTGTTTTTTAACGCCAAGCCAGTCGCTTCTTATTTTTATTACGGTTATTTCCAATTTTAATTTTACGTAGTCATGTTGCGTAATGTATATTCTGATCGTAAGCGACACAACCTCCCCCTTCAAAGGCTGAAGCGAAGTGACCGGGCGGCAGGAATCACGCTTCAAGAGGCCGATAGTTTAGGTAATTTCTTTTTACAGTGAAAATGATGGTATTTAAAAAAAAGTAAATAACATAAGCACTGCTTTATAGTTAGTTCAGTTAGTATGCAATGTTTCATGATCTTATTTAAAGTATTTTATGAATAACAGCGGTTTATTGTTTATTTTGGAGGTAACTTTGGATTTTTTTTCTATCGAGAAAATTTTAAGAAATCGTGTTTTCGTCTAACATAATCCTTAACATTAATCCTCAAATTTACCTAATATTTATTTCAAAATTAATGCTGCAATATTTTCGGCATAACGAAGGATTTTGCTAAACCATTTGAGATTATATTTCCCCTTAAGGAAACATGACACTATTGAACGATGTGGGCTATATGGAGAAGCATCGAATTCTGCTAAAGTCAAAGTTTACATCGGTTCGAAAAATACGGACCTTATTTGTGAAGAACCGGCAATAAACTTTTTAATCTAATAAAATAACGACATTAGTAGTAGTAGAGTCATTAATTTTTTTAAAAGCCTTGCTATTTCAGTTAAAAATGTCAAATGTAAAATAATATTTTTAACAATGTATCAGTAGCTAGGGTATATATAATATATAAGTATAGGCATGGGCATAGATATTTTATATTTGAGTTATTTCCACACATCATTGTCAATGTGTTGCTGTATATTTATAGTAGGCTATTTTTTATGGAA